TAATTTTTTCAAATCGAATTGAATATTCCTTTCCACCTTTTAGTGAAACGAAACATCTTTCAAATATTTCATTATTTATAACAGAAATGTTTTCGTTTTCACATTTCCCATATTTCAAAACAGAGATTGTTCGATATTACTTGAGCTCATATTTTGTAGAATTACTGGTTTTTTTTTATGAAATCATCCTTCATATATAATTGTAAAAGAATGATAAGATTGTGTGTTGGAAAAAATGCATCCTTATAGCGTAATACCGTGGTTTTAAGTAGATCGTTATTATATTTTTTAATGTTACCAAGTGGGAGGTTATTGAAAAACATTTTAGGGGTTCATATATGCTATAATTATATCTCTGAAAAATCATAATTGAGAAGAATCATATAAATTTTATACCTTCATTTTGACACGAAACTATGTTTCTATCTTTCTGGTTCTCATACATATGATACGATCCGCAGTTTCTGTGAATACTATCTTGATGTAGGGAATAAGTATTTTTTGCATACTATTGTAGGAATTCATTTTTTCAAGATCATGTATTTTTTCTTATTAAAATATCAACCATTCTCAAAGTACACGGTTTGGAAAAAAAATCATTGAATGAAGAGTCGAGCGAAGATATGTTTTACATTCTCATGCAACTACACTAGAATAGACTTAATAATATATTCACCATTTAAAAATTCTTCAAATTCTGATACGAAGATGAAATTCTTACGTGGAGAGGCCAGTTAAATTTAAATCGCTTCTTTGACAGAATCGCAGTTTCCGTAAATCTAGGAAATATTTTATGATGTACAGTTTTCATCATAAATCAGTTAATTATTTTTCATTAGAATTTCTTTAAAATAACCTTTTTCTTACTGAAATCTAAACCATTTTAAATTTTATACAAAACACACAAACCATAACATCAAAACACAACTTTTATACCTCTTTGAGCACTGCCTCAAATATTAGGAACATTAGGGTCTCGATTTTTTGGCAACTTTTTGGGGAGAAAGTTCTCAGAGTTTTTTATAAAGCGACCTAAGACTAACCAAATCTGTACCAAACAATTTGTTGGACGTATTCAGGAGTATTAGATTAGTAATTATTTTTATTCAATCTCTTATACTCGAGCCTTATACCTGCTAAGCATCGCAATATATTACTTTGAAGGTTCAATTGTTCTATTTTTACTTGTATTTTATTTCACTATTATTTCATTTCAGGTTTATTTTGTTGTTTCAGGGATTTCAAATCATTTTATATAGTAGGCAATGGAAGTCCGAACTAGTGAAATTCATATTACTTTGTTTCAACCAGGGAGTAGTTCACGTTCGAGTCAATTTTTGTCATGGGATTGAAATAAATTATGTAATTAAGATTCTACCTTGAAATGAGGATTGAGTTTGTTAGAAATCAAACTGTCACTTTATTTTTTTTGTTATAAATCAAACTGTCATTCTGAGATCAAAAGAAAAGACCGAAAACGTAAAGACAACTATCATATGTAGGTATACCTTTATTGGAGGGTGAATAATCAAGAGATACCTAAGATTGTATATTCCTTTTAATATTTTGGATTCTCATACACATGTAACGTATTTCATTTTGGGAAGGTGTTTCTGTTATACCTTTTTTACCTTTCCTATTCCTAATGTTGTCCTTAGTACCATTTAATCACAGTTTTTTATTAACGGGGAGGGAATACACCAACTGTTTTCAATGCTACCAAAACCATCACTTGAACCTCTCATCTCTCATATTTTTTACCATTACATCATTATTTGTCAAACCTACAAATTGCTATTACGAATATATATATATATATATACCTTGACAGTGTCATCCTAACTTTCACATTTTTCGAAGTAGTTCAATTTTCACCATTGTACCATTTTAACATTTGTCAACTTTTCAAATTGTCGTGAGGAAAATATATACCTGAACATTTTGATTCTCAATTTTACGTCTTTTTGGGGTGTTCATTTTTCACCATTGTACAATTTTAACCACTTTCAAATTTTCAAATTGTTGTAAGGAAAATATATACCTGAACATTTTGATCTTCAATTTTACATTTTTCGAGGTAGTTCATTTTTCACCATTTTACAATTTTAACCACTGTCAAATTTTCAAATTGTGAGGAAAATATATACCTGATCATTTTGATTCTCAATTTTACATTTTTCGAAGTAGGTACCTAGTTTATTTTTCACCATTGTACCATTTTAACCACTGTCAAATTTTAAAATTGTTGTGAGGAAAATATATACCTAAACATTTTGATTCTCAGTTTTACACCTTTCGAGGATAGATTCTATATTTTAACACTCAATTATATTCACCTTTTACATGTACTATATTTTCAACCAAAAATGAGTGTGAAACATTCTACCAAACACTACACAATTATTGTAAAACGCTTCAATTTTCTAGTACATAAGTCACTTTATCATCCAATTAAGAGACCTTCAATGTATAACCAGAATAAATGAGTTTTTATTATTTCTGTACTAATATCATCTATCGCACATCTCAACTTACTTTTAACCAGATATGTTAAATTTGAACCTTTCCTCAAATGCAAATAAATACGAATAATTCGAGATGTACCTACGATGTTTTAGATTAAAATTTTACAGCATTTTTGTAAATATATGTATATCAACTATAAAATCACAAGACAATTGATATTTGAAAAGCGTTTTGTAGAAGACCAACTGTTATTTCGATCAATCAACAATATTTTCAATGTGGCCCTATCAATATTTATGTATATATAAACTATTTTTTCTATAGACTTGCAAGCAGTATTTGTATTTTAAAAACACAATTTTCTAGGAAAAAAGAAATTATAAATTTGGGCGTGAATCAAATAACCAATTATTTTTTTTCTTGATGATTTGTGTTTCCATTCTGCAACGTTTACTACAAAAATTGATGCCATAGTACAGTACAATCAGTTGTTCAATCATCAACTTTTGAAATCACACAGAACATTGACGAGAAAAATCCTTTGTGTGAACGCATGCACTCATGTTGTGGAAAGCTAATCGCGGTTTTTTCGATCTACACATCTTTGGTGAGTGGCGCATTTATCTTTTCAATTTTTTCTTCTTTTACGGTCCTGACCATTGTAAAAAGCCGAGGATGAAAAGGACTGTGATTTAGGCGGATATGGAATATATAACCAATGTGTTTTATTTCTGATGTCACACAGAATAGTATTGTTGAACGAGTTGGGAGTCGTATAAGGTTATGTCTACGCTTTTCAGAAAAGTATTCAAGAATACATTAATTACAACTAATCAAACATACATTCATTACAACTATGAAAATTAAATATCTCAAAATAATTTTCAATTTATTGAATATAAAAGGAGATCTAGTTTTGTTTTGTTATTAATTCTCGTCATTTAAGCTAGTTAAACGGGATATCCTTTTGAGCACATTAAAGATATTGAAGACTAAACGGATACATTTCGGTCTCACACATTTACCTTCGCAAATCTTCTTTCCAGAAGATTTGCAATGGTCAGTGCCATCATAAAAATTTTTTTTGGTTTTTACTGTCAAGTTATTCATAACTAAATTATGAGGTTTAGTCAAAACTTGGGGCAAGTTAGTACTCGTATAAGATAAGGTTTCTATACATGATATTTAAACAATAATAAAAAAAAAATATGACTAATTTCAGAATGCGGATCTTTGTGAAAAAATAGAATGTCAAAATTTCAATGACAAATCTTTACGGCAGTTACGATGATTGCAGTTACAAATGAATTGATAAAATCAGATTTGAAATAAGAACGGTGTTGATTTGGAGGGCTATGCAAAAATATTACTACTAGTATTTTATATATATTACCATTATAAACAACTTTCTGATCTTTAGAGTTTTTGTTGTAACGTGCTCAGTTTTTGAAAAATCAAAAATTATTCATTATATCAACAAAAACGAAACATGTGTTAAATGACTAAAAATGAAGTTCAACTGAAATGAACTCCAGAACCATTCTCGAATAAATCAACAATCTTCCTCCTTAATACTGAAATTGATTGAAATATGTTATTCTTGTAGAACACTAAATTTAATTTGAAATTTTGAAATAGGTATTGAATATTTCATAGAAAACATTTGTGAAAAAATTAAAACTGCACATTTCATCAATAAATCGGTAAGCGCATGACACTTTTCAAAAAGCATGACCGTCAAATGCAAAATTTTCTTCTATAGATGGTTTTTTAATGTTTGTGGTGAATAATTAATGATTTTCTGTTATAATCTTCAAATGTCCAAGATATAAGAGCCGTTAATATACACACAAGACAAGTGTCGAATCAACAGAATTATAATATTTGCTAATGAGATTAATAAAAATTACTTTTTCAAGTATAACCAAGCTATTCTGGGAGAGATCTTTCAATATTCGCAATTTTGCATACCTAATACGAAAATTATATCCATTATGACTTTACTCAACTATGTAAAAAATCAAAGGCTAGTGCATTCGTTATTGGGGTTGAAGGCATTTCATATTATACTGTAGCAGAAAGTTAGAAAAATTCAACAAAAAACATGACGAATTAGAAATATTGTACTTACTGTATAAAGGCTCTCTTAATCGCTGTTTTTTTCTTCCCTTTATGGCTTTATTTGGTTTAAAGACGAAACAAGCGTTTCGTTTCAGACTGATCAGAATTTTGTTATTGTCAGAATGTAAAATATATTCACAATATGTGACTTGTCACTTGAAAATAATCTATTTCCTGCCAATTCGTAGTTTTATTCAAATTCACACTTTTTTATATTGTTTTCAATAGACATAACGGGATAAATTAATGAATTTCAAGGAGTGACCAATATATCTTGAAAAAATTCACATAATTGTGATTTCAAAAACATTCTGAGTCAATATTCAAATACTGCAGTATTTTTATGCTTCAGAAAAGCAAAGTTAAGGTTTTGGAACATAATATCAACTAACAATAACCCAACACGAACAGTAGAAGCTTTTAAATGTATTTATTCATATTAGATTCAAGTTAAGTTGTACAAACGCCATGAAGTGTTTTCAAATAATGATAATGGTATTTTTCTATAGGAATATAAATATCAATGTTATCAATAATAGGGTTGTTTCTTCATAATTTTCAGGTGAAATGCATTTCATCGCAAGTTTCATAAAAAAATATATATATAGGCTTATGAACACATTGTCCATATACACCAAAATAATACAAGAATCATTCAAAGTATTCACAAACTCCGATGGGAATACCAAAAATCGCAGTTCATTTTGGGGGGACATCCTTTACACGAACCGGACTTCTCTATGCCATAGCACGATCTAGAAAATTCTCAAAAGGTGTGCCAGCGCAGCTGACGGGTAAATCTATGCGAGGCCAGGGCCTCTCTAAGTAAAATATCATCATACCATGGTCTTAAGACTCTACGAATCTGCTCTCTTAAAAATCAATTAATCTGCCTAACGGTCGCTCAATGATTTCGTTTCGATAGATCTCGATTCGACAAGATGGTGACGACCGCACCCTAGCCGCCATTTTGGGACACGGCGCAATGACGCAATTACATCATTATGTTGAAAAACTCTGAAATTAATTAACATCTTTTGATACCACATAAGGGAACAATTATTATAAATCGAACTTGCTCATTTTGTAATCGTTTTAAACAAATGATATTCGTTGAAAACAAGTTGTTCCACTAATTAAATTCGAATTCTACTAAAGGAAATTGTGACGTGGCCCATTTACACTGGCCAGGTGTAACTAGACCACATAAATCAATCAATTTCGACAAAATTTCAGCAAGCTACCTTAAAACTACGTTTGAAATTGGATACTAAAAGAATACGACTTATACAAATCCTTGCAATCCTCTTGCATCACACCCAACAGCTGCCTGCTTTGTTTGGTCACCACTACTCCACACCATTTTCAACTTATCACACTTAGTAAAATTTTCGACTGCGTTACAAAATCGGAACGGGACAGTATTTAAAGGTTCTCCCCTTCCACTGCGTTTTTCTAGAACATTCAGAGACCTCCTGATTGTTTGCTTGGCGTCCCCAGCCATATCGATCTCAGCGGTTACGGTGTAATACTCATCTCAAAATCTAGCCGTCTCTCTCCCACGCGTAGGAATTACATATAACGTATGTCGCAGTTGTGAAGTGTTTGCTTGGGTCGATACACACCGAGCGAGGCAGGGGACAACTGCGTAGTTTCTGGAATATTCCATTACGTTTTTGAGGGGTGGGTGACTAACTGATAATAATGGAAATGTATAATGATGATCAAGTATTTTTTCTATGATACAATTTCACAATATTGGTTTTAATGTTCAAAAAAGTAACTTTCATTAGGGAATTATTCGTATTCAATAATCAGATGCATATTTTCCTAAGGTTCAATATAGATAGGTATGTGTTTTGAGAAGGTTGAAACATATTGTACCTAGATATGATTCATCAAATTTCTATTTTTTAGCTGTTAATTGTTAATGCCTATTTATTTTTCACTTTTCCATTTCAAAAATACCAATAATCTATTATTTACAAATTTACCTTTGAATTAAATTATGGCAGCAAAAGAAAGATATGTATAGAAGCAGAGTTTTTTAAATATTGTGGGTAATAGGCATGAAATTATCAAATATTCTTTCAATTCATTTCAAAATTTCTACCTACTATTTCTAATTTTTTAAAGAGAAAAATACAATTTTGAGATGAATACCTATACACTATTAATTCAATTATATTTCCAGGTGGTAAAGCGAAAAACGAAATCTTTTGATTATTTGTACAATCTACAGAAATTCCTCAAACTTTTCTCAAAAGTTCGATAAAAAATGTACCTACCCATTTTTTTCTGATCTTCATGAAATGCGAAAGGCCACACCATTTCCTTCTTCCTTGATTTCCTTTTTCCTGATCTCGAATATAAATCATGAAATATCTACATATTTGAAAAAAGTTCAACTTCATCTTTATTATTAGGTACCTATTTGTTGATAGTTACTTCCGATTAGATATAAACGAACAAAATATATAAAAGCCTTGGATACGCCAATTGTTTATATTACTAAAATATCAACTTCATTCTCTAATTCATTTTTAATTGCTGGCACAAATTTCTGTTTTTGGGGATTGTCAGCAACTTCATTGACACCTATTTTTTAAAACTTACTTATATGCTTACTGAAAAGATAGTCATTTGAAATAAAGCTATTAGTAATATTAGAAAGAAAGGTGTTTGGCTTTCTACTTTTCCATGTGGAGGACAGGAAGAAATTAAATGAGTTAAAAAAAAACTCTTTACATAAATAGGTATGTAGATTGTAGCAAAACCACAGTAGAAAAGACCCTGTGGCAGAACATTAAATAGTGAAGTTCTATAACCAAATATATACATAGATAGTATGCTCAGTTGCATACACTTGGCCTCCATTTGTAAGTGCACCAGATCTCAACGTATCAGCCAGTTCCTCATCAAGTTACCCTAATTGACAAAAAAAAAATTGCATGTTAAAATAAAAACTCAACGTTTTGTTCCGGTTGGCTATTTGCGAGAATTGAGAAATGTATGTTCTTCTCTTAAATCTAGATCATAGGTAGTTTATCAGTGTATCTAATTACTAGAAATTGAACCCTTGGGTTTTATCGCAACTCTATAAACCGCCTGGTCGATATTATAGTGGCGAACTAAAAAATAAATAATGTTTTGGGCCTGGAAGTTGGGTATAATTAATTCATAAAACAAGAAACTAAACCCTGAGATACAAGTGTTTCGGCACAAGATCATGTGTAAAAGTTACTTTCAGATATGAATTGGAAGAAAATGCCCTCCCAAAACAATTGCTTTCACATGAACATTGAATTACACGAAATGAAAAACCAAAAAACTTTTCTTCCCCAAGCACTAATCTCTCATAAAAATATACCCCTTTCAATTTTATTAGTAATATATTTCACATTATGATTGAATTTGGGTTTAAGAATACAATAAAGTTTACTGGAGGTACTTTCCAATAGCATAAAAACAAATTGCTGTAAATCGACCCATATTTTGTTTCTTCATTAAAATAACCTCAAACCTTCGCCTTTGAGAATCCAAACCTACCTGAAACGTTTAACAATGCAGCTTTACCTGGAAGGATATTATTCTGTTACCTACAGTTATTGAACATTTTGGAAATTAAAACCCAAGGCAAATGTATCCCAAGGAGCAGATTAGCATTTACCGGGGAAGAGGGTCTCAATAATTCCCTTTATTTATTTCAGAATGTACATCTGCTTATACCCATTTCATTGTTCAATGCAACCCCTGGTTTGATACAAGAATACTGAGAATAAGGAAAATTATGTTTCACTAGGGACATGAAAGTCACACGATAATTATGTCCGGGTTTCCAGATACAAAGAAAAATAAGTTGAGACAAAATCACCAGGATCGCAAATTAATTATTATTTTGACTTTGAGTTTTTTCTCTCTTCCCGAAAATTGTTGCCCTAGCCTAGTCAAGATCTTGGGTAGTTATGAAACGTTTGCTACGATCGATACTCACGCCAAGCCTGCTCCGTAGTTTCTGGAAAGTTCCACTACGTCTGCGAAGGATGGGAGATTAACTATAATGGAAATGTAGTTATCAAGCAGAGTATTTTTCCCAGAAATAAAAGTGTTTGTAAAAACTGTGTAATTTACATTTTCATAACCTGAATTGTCAAATTCATTTTACTCTCACTGTTCTGATTTATAATGTGAATGTTGTGAATAAAACAGTAATACTCACTCACAGGGTGTCCTTTGTGGGTTTCCTGAATTTGTTCAAATTGATATTGTCTTATCATTGTACAGAAAAATTTAATAAATTCATATATTATTATTATGGATAGTGTTTTCGTCAAGTTACGGGTCAGTCCATTCATAAATTTCTAATCAATACTCAAACGGATTTTTTCGTGAAGTTTAACATCACGATTCTATTGTACTGTTGTAATATTTTATTTTTGGGGTAATTATTTCTTCATTTCGAAAATCTCACGAGTCAGTTTTTATCAAAATTACGAATCGAAGTAATAATTGTATCAAAAAATGAAATTGTTAATGGTATGAAAAAAATAGAATTTATAAAATATTAATGTAAGTTATTATGGTCGATTAGCAATAAGGATCGAGTTATCATTTCTCATATAATAAAGAAACTAACCCCTAGTTTATAAAAACGCAAGGTAACGATAAGGTAAAGTAAGAAAGTTGAAGCAATGAGAAAACACACTTGCGCTCTAGATAAAAAGTAAGGTAGGTACATACAGGATTGCTTACTTACATATATCGCCACGTTAAACAAGCGCCGAGCAGATGTGACGTAACATTGGTGACACTTTTAGTAGCTGCCATAAGACTGTGTTATTTTAACATTTTTTGAGGGTTATTTTCGGACAGTATTACATTGTTTTTGTTTATTTTGATTAAATTTTTATTTAACTATACCAATTATAGGTATCTGAAACATTGAGTTTGTTATTGTGAAAGTCGTATTTTTTTGTGCTTTTGGACATTTTTTAAACTGGTGTAACGAGTAGACGCCATACAAGACTCCGGTATTTTCTTCCGTTTTGAGGTTTGTTTTTTGTCATTGTGGAACTTTTTTTTGTTTTTTAAAATTTACCGAATCAGAATGATCATTCTGGGATCATTCTGCAGTAAATACTGAAGAACTGACAATAGAAAAATATACTTATTACTCCAAAAGTCATGAAAAAGGTGGAAATTGAAATTAACGCAGACACGATTTCAGAGCAGACAATATAGGATCAAATTGCAGTAGCTCATTTTCATCTAGTAGTTCTGATATTTCTACTAACATTCCTTCAACATCAAAAACAAATATTCCAGAAATAACAGAGGACTCTTATATCGCTGGATACTTTGCTAAAAAGCATAAAAATGATTTACCTGGTTTGAGCGATTATACTCAGAAAATAAAAGCAGAACATCATAATTATAATATACTTTCTTGGGTCCAGCAACTTTTATTGGGAGGTCTTATTGAACCCACAGCTAATTGTGAAATGAAAGTTATTATTTATTTCATATGAATGATTGCTGCTGTCAAAGATTATGGAATGTCAATATTTGTTTATGCATTTCTGCCAACCCAAAAATGACCAAAACCTATAATCACTATGGCGATTCTTCATACTTTATTTTTTCGTGAACGTCACAAAATGGATACCTTACCTTTTACCTCTCTGCATTAACTTACCTTACCTTGCATTATTATAAACTAGGGGTAAGGTGCCTCTTACCAATTCTACTATTTGCAAATGAAAATTGCTGCAGTTTCGTCCTATACGGACATTTTCAAACGAATACAATATGAATTTTATTAAATTGATGGATGTAGCCGTTACTACGTGGTAGGAAATCATAATGAAGAAAAGAGAAATGAAACTTTCTATGTTTTTTACCACTTTTATTTTTGACTTTATCATTGAAAACTTGCTCCACAAAGTTGACTAGTTCCTTATTTTTGATTTCTCTTCTAGATAGAATAAGAAGACGGTTTCGCTGAAATTTCCTTCGACGTTTTTAAGTCTACACCAGCTAAGAAAATCAGAATATGCGGTGTCCTACTGCTGAGCAGATTTTTTTGGTAACAATTCAATTGAAGGTCTTTTTGCAGCCTCTTCAATGTCGTCAAGAACACACAATTCCTCATTATTGTTCTTCATTATACAAGACATTAAACACCAGCAAGAATTTCATATGAAACGCGTGAGCTGTAAACAATACTGTTTGGTAACCAGGTGATTCGGCGTCACCTGACACGGCCACTTCACAGTAAATGCGATAACATGAAAACAGTTAACTGACAAAAGATGTCAAAATGTGTTTTTACGGAAATATTAAATGTATCTATTTTATTACGAAAGCAGGACAGTTATTTCAGTAGATATTATTAAAAATGAAGTTTATTTCATAATGTTATGTACAGAAAAAATTATTTTGGGCTCCCACCATGGGTCGCTTCGATATTATTCCACATACGTCATATATATGTCCAACATACGATAAATAAATGAGTTTTGTATGATTGATTGAAAGAAGTACACTTTCTAGGAGAGATTACTTTCTAGGAAAAAGAGCTTTTTCGCTTTCTACTTCTCCTTTATACAAAAAAATGTAGAAAACTTCCAAAGTAAGGAAGTTTTCTATGTCTTCTAAGGAAGTGTTCATAGATGGATGGGTTTCCAAATAGTATGTATCTTGATGGTCAAATAGCTGATACAGGAAAAAATATTGTTGATCTTTTTGCCGAAAAATTTTCAAGGGTTTATGTTAGAGAAGGATTGGATTTAAATGATATCACAGATGAATCAATGGTATCAGCAATTGATATACCATTCATAACTTTCAGTACTGAGGAAGTATTCAAGGGGCTGAATTCATTAAAAGATAACTTGAGTTGTGGACCAGACGGCATCCCTGCTTATTTCCTTAAATGATGTGTTTACTCAGTAACTATGCTATTATATATAATATTCAATCTATCATTGAAGCTTGGAATATTTCCCTGCCAATGGAAGAATAGTTATGTCACCCCTATTTTCAAAAGTGGCAAAAAAGAAGACATAAAAAACTATCGCCCAATTAGCAAACTTTCAGCCATCCCAAACTTTTTGAATTTTTACTTGTGCACCACCTTTCATGGCATTGCGAAAATTGGCAGAATGAAAATCAACATGAATTTGCTACAGGTAGATCAAGAACATCAACAAATTTATTAATATATCAACATATTATCATGGCCCTAGAAAAGAGTCTTCAAATTGATACAATTTACACTGATTTCAGTAAGGCCTTTGATAGGGTAAACCACGGTTTGCTGATCAGTAAACTAGGTTTTCCAACTTGGTTAATTTGTTGGTTGAATAGTTATTTATCGGATAGAAAACAGTTGGTAAAAATTCAAAACCACATTTCTAGTGATATTAATGTTAACTCCGTTGTCCCGCAGGGATCACATCTGGGTCCACTTCTCTTTAATATTTTTATTAATGATATAGCTCTTAACTATCATCACTTTAAATACCTTCCCTTTGCTGACGATCTCAAAATTTATATGCCAATCAACTCCGTCACAAAATGTATTTATTTATTTTCTTTCCAGCAATTAACTTGTTAAAAATTACAGGAAAATTGTGAAAAATGTCAAAAAGTAGTATAACAACATAATACAATACAGATTTGAAAAAATTGTTATAGATATTCACATAAATATAAATATCCATTGAGGATGATAGTGTTCCATGTAAGTGAAATTTTATATTGTAACTCTTTCATATATTATATTGTTTCATTTCTGTGAATAATATATCTGATTCAATTAGAGTACAAACTAAAGGGCACGACAGGAATAAAGGTAATCGCATTGCCGACTCTTTGGCCAAGGATGCGGCTGGACTAAGAATTTTATAACCCAGTGGCACCTACGACCTGATGACTTCGACATTTGTGGAACTAACCAAACGTCACACCCATGCTCAATCCCTAAAGAGATGGAATGAAATCAAAGGATGCAATCTTGCCAGGATCAACTTGGGCGACCCTGGGAAGCTGGCGCCGAAGAAATATCTGGTGATGGCCAGAAAAAATCTACACTTGACAGTAGGATTTCTGACTGGCCACTGTCAACTGAGGAAACACCTCCATAATATGGGGCTAGTGAACACACCTCTATGCAGGATGTGTGAACAGGAAGATGAAACTGTCAGGCATGTCCTATGTGAATGTCCGGAGTTATCGTCAATAATAGAGTGTGTGTTCGGCGGGTCTTGGCCTAAACCTGCCGATATAAAGGAGATGTCTCTTAGTGACCTGTCCACCTTCCTGGAAAGGACAGGATGGACGATGACCTAGGAGGTCAACTCCTCGGGAGAATGTACAATGGGTCACATGTGGCCTAAGTGCTGTGGGCTTACACTCACCCTCCTTACTCTACAGATACAGATAGAGTACAAACTAAATAGGAAAAAAAAGAGAACTGGAACCTCTGGCGTAGAATGAATACAAAAGAAGCACTGTTTCCAATCACCAGAACGGCAATACTCTTCTAGCACGCGCTTCATCAACAAAGTGGGCGTTTTTCAAGAAGTGCTTGTTTTGGATAAATAAGAAAAAGTGATTTTCATGTAATTCAATACAAACTGGAAGTACTTTTTCTTTGGTGTTATTCAATGTATATGTGAAAGTACTTGTTTTGGGTGAACTTTTTCTTCCAGTTCGTATATGAAAGTACCTTCTATGTACAACCTACACATTTTTGTAGATAGCTTATATTGAACTTGAATGCTTTCTTCTTCATTGGAATTCCCATGTTTTTTGTATAGAGATGGAGTTGTAGAAAGCCAAAAATCTTTTTTTCCAAAAACATGAGTTTCTAGTTTTATTTTGTAATAGTAAAATTGTAACTTAGAAGTGAACATCATCCTCATGAAAATATGTCCAGCGCCCAAGAAAGGCATCCTGCATAATCTGAAGGTGGTGTGCGATATTTAGGATCTGTAAAAACAAAAGTGTGAATAGATACATATAAATATAACTTTTTCATGTATAAAGTCAACATGCCTAAATCTTGTTTGTTCTGTATGATGGCCAATACATCATGGTCACTGGTTTCTGTATCTTTAACGAATACATCTGGCCAAATTTCGGGAATCCTCTTAACCATATCCCTCTGTAGTTCTGTGAATTTTTTATGGAGCTCTTTGCAATTATCTACATTATCGTTTTCAACGATTAGGCACACCTCTCTTATATCTTTTCCAAAGCCAGACGTTTCTGCATACAAAATATGGAGTGCTCTCATGAGTGCTATATCCTCATAAAAACCGCCTTCTCGTAAATCTGTTTTCTTCCTTTCCTCTTTTCTTCTATTTTTTGATGACAGAGTAGATCTAAAAATGACAACATATACATCCATCTGTTACTATTGCAATGAATCATAATTAATGTACAAAAAATCTACACAATAAATAATCTTCGAAACCTATGAACGAAAGAAATTCAGAAAAAATTTACCAGGATTTATGACTAGTCATTAACGTATGTTTTTGTCTTCAAATGCATACTGTTAAAAACTGATGAGACATGTTTTGAATGGTGAACTGAATGATGGGCAAGGACTGGCTCTTTTTTATGAAAAATGATAATTAAAACTTTCTATGTTTTCATATCACTTTTATTTGTAACTAACATTACTGCAGTTTCGTCCTACAAAGACATTTTCTAACTCTGTTTCGAGTGTGAACTGTATCTATTAACATTATTCATAAATGTCATAAATTGGTACTACACTACAGCTGAACATACATAGAAACATACAGTTCACACTCGAAACAGAGATAGAGAAACAGAATTATTTCTTATACCTGACCATCACATATTATCATAATAAATTCGAGTTCAATGTATTTAGAAAACCAAGTTATATCGACATTACAATCCCAAATGATTCTTTCCATCCGGACACTCAAAAATATGGCAGCCTACAATTCAATGTTACACAGAGCATTCTCGTTTCCTTTGTTTTCTAACAATCTAGATAGGGAAATTTAAACAATTATACAGATAGGACAGAATAATGGTTTCGACGCAGATACAATCCAGAAGTTTATCATGTAAACATAAAGCTTCAAATGTATGTTTAGATTCATACACCCCCAGATCAAACAATCAGAAATCAAGAAATTTGTAACTTCAACATATTTTGGTAAAATAACAGAGACAATTGCTCAAGTGTTCGGAGTGTAATAGTGTTGGACAATATGGCCGAAATTTCTCAAAACGGTATGCTGAAAATGAAAGGTCCTTCAGACTAGGTAAAAATGATTCGACGTTTTCAAACCATTCCTTGGAATGCAACCACAAGTTCCCGAATCTTAACAATACGGAAAGTTTGCGCTATGCAGGCAAGGGTTGGAAACTCAATCATTTGGAATCCTTGGAAATTCATAAACATAAGCATTGCGAATGTAACCTGCTAAATGACCAAATTGACTTGATCTACTCGCTGGTTTTCAAATTAGCGTACCCACATTGTCACAGGTAAACAAAATTCAGGTAATGAAGTCATAAAGGACCGTCTGTTATTACCTACTGTAGTTGTATATGTACATAAGGGTGTACATTGGTAATTATTTCAATATTTATTGTATTCGTTTGAAAATATCCTTGTAGGACGAAACTGCAATAATTTTAGTTACAAATAAAAGTGGTATAAAAACATCTATCAATCTAATGACTTTTTTACTTTTCCAAAGTAATAATGTTTCTTCATTTATATAATTTTTCACAACACTGGATTGGCCAGAAAACAAAAAATGAAATTTAAAAAAACTCGACGATTATTTGAAAAAATATGGTTTGAAGACTTAATTTCATAAAAGATTAGGTTAGAAAAATATGAATCATTTACCCTCTTGATCTCGAAGTAGCTCTAGAAGAACCTAGTGAAGAAATCGTACTGCCACTTTCTGAATATAAATCCTGTTCACCCTCATGAAAACCTTCAAAACCTCGCCCCAATTTAGATATTTTCTCTTCCCTAACTGTCTTCAAACGATCAGCATACTTTTCAAAATGATTTTTGAAATTGTTGGTTTTCTCCATCAAAAAAGTCATGTAATTGTTCAAGTCAGGAAGAATATCTCTTTCTGAAAGTATAATTATGAATTATAACTTGTAAATGAATGAAAAGCACCAAGTTCAACAAAAACTATTGAAATCGAAACCAAACTCATGATAAACTAATATAATTTGAAAGTCATGAAAAGAACACAGCATTTATCTTGAAAAAATTTAAAGTGGATTGTGATACTTCTTAACAAAACAAACATTGTTTCATTTACTAATTTTCAAATCATCTATAAGCAAATTCAAATAACGATACAAGTGAGATAGTAACAAGAGATATTGCAGGGCAACCCAAAAAATCATGCCGCTTACCTATTACATCAAAGGCACCATATGCCTGAGCCATACTAATGGCTCTTCTAAAACATTTACGCTCAGTAAGAGTGGCTACAGCTCTTTGATAATCCTTATTGTAATGTTCAAGTAATATCACAGCCTCATCTATTCTATTATCTTTCAGTAAACTCTCTGATAATTCATACACCATAATCCTTCTTTCCTCTACATCATACTTCAATAAACGCATCAAACTTAGCACTTCCATCCACTCAAGAGCAAGTTTATACTGGATAAGAGCTTCTGCAAACAATTTATTACGTTTCAATATAAAACCGGCTTCTATATGTTTCTGCTGAAGAGCAAGGCGTTTGGCATATAATCTAGTCACCAAGTCGAAATGGTCATGATTATTTCTGATCGCAGCATATGCAGCATTCTCTAACTTATTATTTACCACGAATTCTGAAATATATTCTTGGCTAAATTCGTCACACCTTAGAAGATACTTCACAGCATTTTTCAAGTTCCCGCTCTTCATGCTCATTCGGAATCTTAGCGCAATGGGTGTCAATTCCCTGAGTTTAGCAATTTCAGGTTCATAAATCTTGGGGTCTTCATTACTATTATGGTAAACTAGAGACAAGAAATCCAAGTTGAAGAAACTGAAAGAAGCACTAAGAACATCTTTGAAATGTTCTTGAATCAGCAACTGGTTCAGTGCCTTACTGCAAACAGATTCATTCTTCTCAGGATTAGCTTCATACACATCTTTGATGGACCTTAAAGCTGAATGTAGAGATATGTGTTTCTGTTGGATGGCTATAATACTAGATAAGTTATGGATGCAATCGGTAGATATCAAATATTCCAAGATTTTCTCCACTACTTTCAATTTTTCACATTTCGCTGCAGGCACTGAGCTGATCTGATAGTTTTTGTAAAACGTGTCGAAACAATTTTCTGTCGAATTGAATTCAGTAACTATGGTATTCAAGAAAGCCAAGCTCTTTGCAGCTTTGACAAAATCTTCTATATGTTCACTGAATCGTACTGGGTTCAGATCTATCAAAACGTTCATATTCACTTTTTCCTCTCTCAAAATTTGTAACACACTATCCCATTTATTTTTTCTGAGCATCTCCTCCGCTACATCAATGGTAATCATTTTACATCCAATGCTTTCCAAGTTACCACGAGGAAGCTGTAAAATGATTTGAGGTGGTAGCGCATTGTTACAACTGACTATTCTTGACCCTTGTTCGATTTCTCTTGAAAAAAGTTTTGTTAGGTCCATATTGTCCGAAAATACCGAGAAATCTTTCAACCGGTGGCAATACAATTTGCTATTAGCATGAGTCATGATCAAGTACTCTCTGAATATTATAAAAGAAGTCACTCCATTACAAACCACTGTATCATTCACATAAAATTCTCTATTGCTGGCTAAAGCAAAATCATATTCTTGTTCATTATTGTCAATAGTGAATTTTCGTTTGGTCAAGTATATTATTTCAGAGTCTTTTTTCAGAATCTTCTGCTTAACGGATACGTCAGTATCATCGTATTGGAGTTGAAAATTTGGTGAACTTTCGTCAACATATTTCAGGTCTACGGAAATATTTCCGTATTGTTGGATACCAACGATATCATGATCATCACATTGTACATTCAAATAAATATTTTCATCAGTGTTCCATTGCCATCCAAGAAAATTCAGAGTACCATTTGATGTTAATATTTCTGTTGTCATAGTTGAAATTATACCATCTCTAGAAATTTCTAAAAGTGTAATTTGAAACATACAATCTAAAAGGGCGCAAATCTGCCTTGTTGGATGGAATAAAATTCGGTTTATAGGTTGAGTATGCTCAAACGTGTGAAGATACATTGGGGGTGGGATAATTTTTTCATCAAATATATAAAATTCTACAGTTCTGCCATTTATCACAGTTACTATTCCAGTTTGTGGGCATCTGTTTATTATAAATCGAAACACATGGTGCTCAATATTTCTGGAAGTGAAAACAACTAATTTGCAAGTTGTGAACAAGTTTTCTTGTAGATTTAACCATTCGAAGCCATAAACTCGAACTGAGGATGGATAAAAGAGCTGTTGTTTTAAAAACCATTTAGCATTTGAATACAGAAGAATGTTTATGTAAGTTTGATCTTCTTTATCCGTGCTCTGTACAGCTAAAATGTTCATCTGAGGGTGGTACAGCAACTTTTTTATGGTACCCTTAAAATAACAAATGCATTTTCAGTACATACAGTTTGTACATAAAACATTAGGATAACACACACACATAAATATTCATGGAAACTAAATATTATTCTGATCTTTGTAATTATAGAGTAAAGATCCTCTGAAATTTCTCTGAAATTTTATAGAATTCTACATACACTCAATTATAAATGAAGATATAGGTTTTTGAAATCTTACCTTAATTTCAGGCAGCTCAAACACTGCTTTGACTTTACAGTTCTTTTCAAAAATTATTAAATCATTAACATCATTTCTTAGAGCACAGCTTGCAATACATTGTCCTTGTCCCATGAACGAAACCGCTTGACAGAGATTCAAATATTCTTCGGATTGATGCAAAGGATTTAAATCAGAATCGAAGACTTTCAAAAAACGTTTGCCTTCATTATGAAAATTCACCACAAAGAGTTCACCGTTTCCCCTCCATGACAACTTTGGTGGGCCATCAAGTGATATTTGCTTGACTGTAATAATAATATTATGAATTAACACTGAGAAATGGGATTTCAGATATTAAAATAAATAAATGAATTTAGGAAACAATCACTTTTATGACATTTAAAGTTTTTTATTGTAACTTAGGAGAGATAATGTTTCGAGACATTCAATTAGAGATAATTGTATCAGCACCGTCATTTAAAATTTATGAGACCCACCAATAGATTTCCGTGAAGACCACTGTTTATCTTGGATACGCATGGTCTTAGTTTTTTAATGGTCCCATAGATGATGTTTTCATATGGGGAGATGCCTACAGATACTGTATGGAATCATGCTATTATGTTTTCTTAAACAAACCTCAAATTGAGCTCAATAAAAGTCATTATTTACTATCAACAAGACATCGTTGAGTCATTGAATACCTCATGTGCGACTTCTAGCACAGGTTAGAAGATATACAGTGAACTTTGGTTGTCCTAGAGTTGGGTTTGAACCAACTTTTACAATAGCAGTTTTTTATAAGTAGGACTTACTAACCAAGCGTCTACCGTCTGATCATAGTGTAATTATAACAATAAATCACCTACATGAAATAAATCAGATAATTTTTCATTTTTTTTTGAGCACATGAAAACTGTAGATAGACTGTGGATTGTTGAAATGCTTGTCAAGATATTATTCTCAACGTTTTTTTATGGAATTCTGCACTAATGCTGAATACCATTAAAACAACACTCATGGGTGGAATGCATAAACGAGAGCAAATTATTTCACTCTTTTGTCTTTCTCTTTCAGCTGTGAAATGTATTTCTGTTAAAAACAAGTCTAAGAAAATATTTGTTTACGTTTATACATTCCACTCATCGACGTTCAACTTCAACATTATTAATTTACCCACCTTCACTTTGTTCTCCTTCTCTGGAATGTTTCTGCTTTGGTCCTCTGAACTGAGTGTTCTGCGACCCCCAGCCCACAAGAACGGGAATGGGTACATCAGCAGTTAGTTGAGATGTGTATTTCAGATCGAAGGATACTCCAGTAAAAGTGTAAGAGTATATATTATAATCATTTTCGATGATAACAAGTAACGTTTCTGCCGGATTCCATGAAAGTTCTGCTATCGACTTTTCAGTAACACAAGAAATTTTTTTCTGCACACGTTTCACTTCTTTTTTCATCAATTTATATGTTCAATTCATTGTTTTATACTCATTTTTACTTGTAATGTTATTCAAAAAAAATTTTCCTGTGCATTTCTCCAGTCGTGACAATTTCTGTCGATCGTTCAAATCATAGGGCACCCACTTTGTGATGAGTCAGTCACCACCAGGGTCCTCAAATTCTCATCCTGGATTATTGTAGGTCACCACTTCGCGATTCATCTTCAACGCTAAAATTTTCGGAACGAAATTTTGCAAACCAACGTCGAACAGTGCATTCATCAACTCTATCATTGTCAAATGTCTGGTTACTTTTTTGGCTGTTTCGTCAGTGCTTTGGTTCGATTTGAATTTGTAGAGAACAATTGTCCGAAAATCGCTATACGACATCATATAGTAATATTAAAAATTGGAAGAAAATAAACAGCTACAATGTATAGAATACAACAATCTCTATCGATCGGTATACACCACGACACAGTAGAATATATATTTATTGAGATATAGAGCTACAGGTGTGTAGGGGCAGAATTTCATTCTCATACCCTGTTGGAAAAAAATCATGATTTAGTATTTGGGCGCGGCGGCTCACTCTGCCTCGCACGCTGACAAAATAGCTGACGCCTTAAGGACGAACTACAAGTTAAATACGAAGATTGTGTAAAGGTTAAGAACAGACTGGCGTCCTTTGTACCTAGTCGTCACAAAGATGTCCCCCTTAATTGAAAAAAAAAAAGAATATTTCTTGTATTCGGTACACAAGAATTATTTGGGAGCCACAGAACATATGGAAATATGTCATAAATGTCAGCTCTGAGAGCAAGTTACTATGAATTGCACGTGATTTAGGTCTGAACCGACTCTGCAATAACTGCGTAGAAGGTCATCGGGCTACGCTCGGGGCTGCTGTTTTATAGAGGGGAAACGTCGAGAAAATTAAAGAAAAAGAAAGGGGGAGGTAGCCTGCCCCCAGTTAGTAACCTACACTAGCACTACATAATGATGCAGAGGTACTAAAATGCAAACCAATAACAAAGAGAATATTACAAAGAGAGATTACTGAAGATACAGAAAAAAAGACTATGACCTTGAAAATTTATTACTACTTCTTCTTGTCAGTAATCAGCAGAGTGTATTTTCATACATTAGAAACGAAGTAAAAACGATCATGTTTCAATTAAATTGATTTGTGGTACCTGTCTGTATACTTCACTCTGCCAAAAGTGTTGGCAATAAGATTAGACAATCATGGAGAAGGGTAATGAGTACATAGTGACGCACCAACAAAAGGTGAGAATGTCTGGGAATATTTCGTAGGCGTTCCGAGGAAACGGCATCAAAGTATCACGAACACGCTACACAATGCCCATAACAAACTACGAAGTAGCCCATGTATAAATATTGGTTCAAATTATATAGTTGATTGCACTTTTACTACTGATATTTAGGCAACCAGTAGTACATGCTGTTTTTAGTAAGGTCACAGTATAGCATTTTACCACAGTCACAGTATTTCTGTATATACTGTGCCACAGTAACTCTAGCCGTCCATCGGAACCTCAGAGTTTGGAACCGCATACGGCCGAATAACAGGCTGCTGGCAATAAAACCACAGCTTACTTACTATAAGTAAGCTGAGATAAAACCGCAAGACCATCCAGTGGAGCCGACGTTCAGCCTAAACAACTACACTCGTTACACTGTTCAGCCGAATGAAAAAGTAAATTAGTTGGTGTACTCTTTGACACAGATATTTCTTTGGTATAATCCTATTTCTATTGGATTGTACCGGCGGACGGCCGAACAGTATATATTAGTGGACGAGCTCCAATGCTCTCTCTTGTAATGGAATCATTCGGCCGTCCAACGGCCGAAGAGTATTCGGCCAAAAACGGTTCCAATGGACGGTCGGCCTAAAAACTAAAGACCCTACTATGGTAAAGTAGTCTAGTCATAGAAGAATGCTAAAGACCCTATACTGTGCATCTATTGAAAACACTTTCCCAACACCAGAACAAAAATTACGGTCTCTCGACGTGCGTTTCGCTAACCAAGTTAGCGTCTTCAGGAGATTAATATGACCCTATACTGTGGTCTAGTTAACCCATAGGTAAATTGTATTGTTCATTGTTGTGGTATTGTAATTAATAGAAATATGTGTTGTTGATAGTTGTCATTTGTTCAGAAAAATTACCAATGTATTTCAGCACCTCAATAAATAATGTGACTTATTGAAGTTGTGTATCTAATCTTCCAGTTAACAAGGAGTTATATAATTGTCACCATAAAACGCCTTGGGAAGAATTAGGCGCGGCCGAAACAAGATGGAATTGTGATAGTTCTAGTCCACAATCTCCCTGGTAGAGGTTTTCTGGAGAACTATCGCCGATCTAGTTGCTCAGCGCCGCGGAAGTCATTGATAAAATTCTTCTGAGTAGACTTCTTTACCTGGAGAAGACCAGAGACTTGACTCATAAGAGAAATTAGTATTACGACGGGGTTGTAAATCACACTACATTGCAACTTGACTGATTGGTTCACAGGGTGAAGGAGGATTTTTACCTAAGGAAAAAACGGTCATAGACATTTTGGACATATACGAGGCCTTTGATGAAGTCTAGGTACAGTTATTTATCAAGAAAATGTGGTCAGCATGCACATATGATTAGAATACCCAAAGTAAACAAAACAGCAACATCAAATACAACTTGATAGGTTGGTTGTGCCCTATTGGTATAAACACAGTGAAAAGAAAGCTCTGCACTGAATTTGCTTGAATGTTGAAAGAAGGAATTCTGAAACTATGCATGTTGTTTCAATCAATTGAAGAACAAGTGTTATGTACGTGATCATAAAGTAGTGTCCAACCGAAAGTTCGGTTTCGTTCGAGTTTCGGCAAAAAAAACGGGTTTCGGTGGCAAACCTGCCGAAACTACGACCGAAACTGCATTCGGGAGTTTCCGCGCTGTGATCGGTCATGTTCGGCGTGTTGAATTTCATACAAGTGACTAAGATATTTTACTGCAACTACGTGCCTAATCATGTCGTGACTTACTTGCGATTCACTTTGTTTATTACATAAATATCAAATACCTATTGTGATATTATGTTACAACTTAAATAAGTAATTTTATGTCATGCCAGATTTTGAGTATCAATATTGAACCACATCCATATCTCCCAAGGCATTTTAACGGTTTTCCGTTTATAATGTACATGAATTCATATTTCTCTACAGAGTGGAGAAATGTTATAGTTTTGCATTTCAAAACATCAATATACATGTAATTTTGAGTACACCGATCAGTGAACTGATATCTATGCAGTCCTGCCGTGACTGAATAATCTTGTATAATTTCAAGTCATCTGCGAAAATCAGAATTTCAGAGCTGATTAGCCATTTGATTTCTGAAAAAAAGTAATGAAACACTTCAAAGCTTCAGTTGTTGATTCTGAATATTCTGATTCGCTCCCCAACCAAAAAATATTGAAACTGACAAACTTGATCTAAGAGATTTTCTTTTAAGTTGGTTCCATACAAACCTCATCTAAAGCTGCATCTGAAAACGGATTTATGTGTTGCATCAAAAAAAAAAAATCTTTTCGAAATTCTGCAAGACCATTGCCACGGGGGCAAAATATTTTTACGTACCTACCAATGTTTTCATACCTCAACTATAAATAAAAACACGTTTCATTGAACTCGAATATATTTATTAAATATCACAAATACAACAATGAATAAAATTTGAAGGATTAATAAATTACTGGTTTAGAAAAATAGCTGAGAGTTTGCTAGTGCAATCAACTTTGAAGAAAATATAAAAATATTAGTTTTTTTCTAGACAAAACATTTGAACGATATTATATTTGAGTATGGTAAAAATAACTTATTTTCTTTTGAAGAATTAAAAAAAAAAATAGTTTATATCGAAATCAAATCCCACAATGAAAGCTGTATTTATACAAAGATGCAGAAAAAGAAATGAAAATAGTGAAAATTACAAATCATTTTCAATGAGAACAAAATCCGGGCTAGTAGGTTTCGGTCAAGAAAAACCTGCAGTACCAAATGTTTTGTCTGTTACTCCGGCAGACATCATCAGTATATACGTTGACTGCGAGAATAAAAGTTATATCTCGAAATCTCAGCAACGACTGACTGGTGAGCTACGTGTTCACTCCTATTTTTATTTAAGATGGTGGGGACGGTGACTGGGCCGACGGTGATAGCTATTGTTATCCTTATTGGTCTACGTTGATGACAGGTTTGCTCCTGGCGAGATGTCGATCTTAGTTGTATTCTAGTCGATTTCTGGCGTTCTTGAGTGTTGGATACCACGTTTTGTTGTCAACAGAAGTGCGGACCAATCAGGAGTGAGTATTTGCACGGACACCCCGCCATCGCCCCCACCACCCGGTGAAATTATAAATACAGGTGAACACGTAATTCGCTAATCAGTCATTGCTGAGACTTTAAGATGTAACTTTTGTCCTTACAGACAACACACATATCACTGATAGATGTCAGTATTTGGTACTGCAGGTTCCATTCGAACACAGCCTACTAGCCCGGATTTTATTCTCTTTAATTGTGACTCCGACCGTGAAAGCCTATATTCTTATGTTACAAATCATTGCTTTGTAAATTTTATAAGAAACTTAATGCATTAGCTCTGAATTGTCTAGTACAATTGTATTATCTCGCCAATATTACAGTTTATAAAGAAAGTTTTTCCGATATCCAGCTGCAATGGCGTCCCTCAAAAGAAGAAATTTGTTCAAACCACGGTTTAAAGAGGTCCTACCTTTTAAACGAATTCCTAGCATCAGGACAGTTGATACACACTAAACAACAACAAAAGGATTTGCATCTGACATGATACACTCTTTCAGAGGGTTAACAAACAATAGAATATTGAAATATTACTTTGAAAATAATCCAAGTAATTTAACAACTTAAAACAATGTTCATCTACTCTTCAATAATATCACGATGATTTTTTATTCTTAATATTGAAGGGGAAGTTATGGGCACCCTTGAAAAACTTGTCCTCATTTGAAGGATTTCATAACAAAGGCATATTCTTATTGACCTCAAAATTTACTACTGACCTAGTAGCACTCAAATAAATAAAGTATTATCTAAAGGATGCATAAAACTGAATAGTGTTTTTAGATAAATTATTTTTGACTCCCACACAATCAAAATATATACTTACTATCAATCCTCTTATTTCAAGAAAATCCAAAACCATCTCATTCACAAAGAAATTTTCAAAAATATTCTACAAGCATAGAAGATTCACTAGTCTGAATTTGACAAAACTAATTTTACAGCATTTTATTTTGTAAAGAGCATGCTTGACAGTCGATCTGCTAGGCTAAAAAAATAAATATTATGAATAGGTCTTTAAAACTTCTCAAAATTTACAGCCGAATAGAAAATATGGAAAAAAAAAATGGTATTCTGCCCTGAAACTGAGATATATGCATTGATTTGCAAAACTTGTACTTCAACTCATACTATCAGATGAAAAATTTCCAAATTGAATGGATTTATGTGAACTAGAAAAAATGAGATACGTTCAACAGGCCCATATTAATAAAAAAATTATCGTTTCTCCACCATCCCCATTTCAGTTAATTCAAAAAATTTCGTACAAAATTTTTTGAAAACGTTAATTTATTGACGCTTTGTCTGATAATTAATGTTCAAACCTAGTCACAATAATGTTTGGGAAACAACATTAAAGATTTCCAGAAATATGTAGTTGTGTTAATATAAGGTGTGAATATTTTCTTATTATACAGGGTGTATTACCTGACGATCCAAAATAAATTCTGATTACACCAGATAGTGTATGCAAATTCTGAAAGTTAAAATTGTGTTTCATTAAATTTGATGTGTTTTTGTGTAATCAGTACACAGACTGGAAGACCAAAAATTATTTTTTGATATCGAAAATATCGTTTATGCAACATTATATAAGAGCAATATATAGTTATATATAGGAGAGCTTTCCAAATTTCTGCTAATGCAGTTGTCAGTTATAAAGGTTGATCAAACCACTAAAGTAGACATAAAAACTTGGCAAGCTAACTTGGATGTCAACAGGTGGTTCCACTAATGTCTCACTTTTACGAAGTGATTTTTATAAAATACTCTTTTGGCTTTTCACAGTTTGTCTTCAATTTGTGGCTTTCAAATTGAAAATGATCAGAATAGAATATTTATCTATTCATTTTTATGGAGTTATTTTCCAGCAGCTTGACTGCATTAACCTTTCTTGAGAGAGCTTCCCAAATTTCTGCTAATGCAGTTGTTGGTTTTAAAATCTGGTGAAACCGATTCGTAATAAAGTTCAAATAGGTATTTAATTTTTTTTGGGCATTTTTAGCAATCATTTTATTAGCAGAAATTCTGCGAAATTCAGGCAAGCTTGACTGTGCCTTAAGTTATCATCTTTGCGACTAGTCCAATAAGTTTTCTTGTAGTTACACTTCTCACTGTTGTATTTGTCGAACTTTAATGATGAATGCACTTCTATTCTCATTCAGAATAATTATTTCAAAGGAACGTTTTTTTAGACAATAAGCTTATGCAATACATAACATATTGCTATGTGAGCGAGATCACTCGTATCATGGACACATCAGCACCTATTTTACCTTCCAGTGTTGCCAGATCATTCTCACCACCACAAATGCCAACTTTTTAGGTATTGAGTATACCATCTCAAAAGTCCCACCGTCCATGTTTGTGCAGCACCAGTCCTATTAGTAATAGAATAATTCAGGAAAATTCTGTTGGTATGTAGGAATTTCGGCTTTCTTTTCTTCGGATGGACTTCGGTTTTCGTTGCCTGATAGAGATTTGAATATTTCGTTCAGCTTACTCTGTAAAACGTCATGCTGAAAATTTTTGAAATTTATTATGGGTTGAAATGTTTCAGGAAAATTTAAAGAAATATTATGTTTCATGAAACTGAGAGAGCGTGTGCTGGAATTGTCGATTAATCTGTTTGACCTTAGCGAACATTTCTTTTATGTGAATAGATGAATAATTCAAGTTCTCGACAGTAATTGCTTTTCATTTGGCAACTTAGCAAGTTTTACCAAGGACTGATTCTGTCTTAAACTGAATATATTTTGTTTATATTTGAAGTTTTCTTCAATCATGTTATCCAAGAAATAAATATTACTTCTTGCCTCAAAGTGGCACTGCCTCCAATAACTGCCTTACGATTTTTTTGAAAAAATAAATAATTGAATGATTATTATATGGAAATAGGTATATACATTTCTTTTGGAAAACTTTTTTGTGACTTGATCCTTCGATTGATTAACACTCTACACATGTTCCACATTTTGCCTAATGGATTGCAAGCTTTTACTGAATTTTTAAAGAGTTGTTTCACACAACTCAAAACTGCATGATTTTTAGAGTCCTGAAGTAAAAGTGAGTTTTAGCATTACACTGTCAGTTGTAGGTGATGCATCTGAAAATCTTGAAAAAGATAAAAAAATAACCCAAGTTGGGGGACAATTTGCCAAATATATACTAATATTATAAATGTTAAAGTTTGTGAGGATGGTTAAATGTATGTATGTTTGTGGCTCTTTCACGCCTAAACGACTGAACGGATTTGGATGAAACTTTACATTAAAACAGATTATACATCAGAATAATATAGGCTACAATTAACAAAGGTTTCGTGTAATTTTGGTCATAATATAACGATAAGTATTGAGTAAAATTCTTGCTCTCCGAGAGCTATCTTGGCGTGTGCTGCCTATATCGTTGGAGTTACATGCAAATAATGTACTGTAAGATTGTTTATCTTAAATAGTTCTAAATAAAAATCTACGATATCTCTCCGAGAGCTATCTTGGCGTGTGCTGCCTATACCGTTGGAGTTACATGCAAATAATGTGCCATAAGATTGTTTATCTTAAATAGTTCTAAATAAAAATCTACGATATCATATATCTACCTCTTATGTGGTAGCCACTATATGCAAAATACTGAGCCAAAAATACAATTAAATTGGATACTTCTCTCACAATGCACATTTTAGAATGTCTGTTAAATTCTCATGAAAATTGGTACAATTTTCATTACAAGTATAATAAAGATAAACTTTGTCTTTTACACTAAGTAATTTGGAAGAATCTTAAAAGTTTTCAAGATAGGATTAACTTGACGCAACGCGTCGCGTCTACTGTAAGACAACGGTGGATGATGCGCGGGGTAGAGGGGCGGTCTAAGCAATGAAGCGCCATCGCCAGGAACAAGACCGAACGCGGGCAGACGCGTGAGGGCAGAAGTCGTTGACGGTTGTGTTAGTTTTGCGAATTTCTTTATAGGTAACATAATTAGATTCTCAAAGCTATTCATTACTTAGTGCAGTTAGCATATTTTTTCAGTTACTGTATTTTTAAAGTAATAATATAAATTGCCAGCTGTTGGCCGCTCTTATATTAACTTACAGCCGAAGCTACTGAACCCAGAATCTTGAAATATGCAGATAGGCTCTTTGTATAGCGTAAATAAGCATCAAGAAAGCGAATCAGGAATTTCCACCCCCAAGGAGGAAAAATAGGGGTTCAAAGATTGCATTGAATTTGGAAACTTGAAGTTTTGGGTTGATAAAAAAATATTGTAAGTATTTGTTGAGAATGGTCTGTCATGAAACTTAATGTGACAAACCAAATTCCTCGCGGAAGAAGCCGCGGGCATCAACTAGAATTCGTATACAGCTTTTATGAACTCAGATACTGATTACGATTGGGATCTCTCCTAACCAAAATCCATTCCAAAAAAAGGAGAGAAAAAGAGGAAACATTTTCATTTTCTGAATGACGATCTCTATATGTAAAGCAGATACATTTCTGTTCGGCTTCTGAGACATAAGCTTTCTATATCAAAAATAGCCATATAAATTAGGTGATTCAAGGGCAATAAACATAAGATCAACGGAATGAGAATCAGTGACCTTGAGCCCTAATTCTAAGATAGGGGTTGATCTCATGATTACCGCTGCAAGAACCAATTAAGTTATTCGGCATGACAAAATTAAATGAAATTGTTGATATGAACAATGTATTTCACATAAACCATACAGGGATTTATAACCTTTGCACAAAAAGGTCATATTTTTGAAGTATACCAGTCATAACCTCCCAACTTATGTTATTGTATTCATTTTTCCAAAATTTTCACGTGCACCACCTACAATTGAAAGCATATAACTGAAACTCATTTTTTACTTCAGAACTATAATAATCACATATTTTTGGGATGTATCATCTGACCTCCAATAGTTTAGCATGCCCGTGCGGTCTACTAATCATTACCTTAGGCTGAGTCCTTCGAACCAATTCTGAAAATGTTGCTGTCCTGAATGTATGACTGAGAGCCTTTCTTCTCTCTGCTTCAGCCTCCTTCCGAACTTCAGGAGGTTCTGTCAGTACCTTCTTCATACTCTCGAATGTCAACTCCTCCTCAGTGTGTTTCTGGATAGAATCGTTCAGATTAATTTTTAGAAATATTTTGGGAAGATGAAAGATCCAGGTGAAACTTACAAACATAACAGATAAATATCGTCAAACTACAAAATTTATACTCGTATCGTTGGAGATATTAAAAAAGAAACTCATTTCAGATTTAGAAACACTATTTACAGATTTTTAACTGTCATTCCTTCGAAATATTTCAAATTACAATAATTAATTTCAATTTGGAAAACAGTAAAATTCTTTTCAGAATACGCAAAATAACATTATAAAACGTATATTCAAATTACTATTACTTGAATTTACGTCAAATTTATATACACACCACATGATCTTTGAGACATTCCACCTCCTCAAAAACTCGATTTTCAACAATATCTCGACATTATAGTGCAGGACTTTCATAGGTGGGTGACCATATATGGAACTGCAATAATCTAAAACTGATCTTACCAGGGTGAAATACAGCATTTTTATACATTCAATATTAGAGAAGTCCTTGGAAGTACGACAAATGAAGCCTAGCATTTTTGTTGCTTTGTTTATAATATAATTATAATGTAAGTGAAAGTCCGGTTTTTTATCCATCACTACTCCTAAATCAGTTACAAATTCGACACGTGTTAAAAGTTCTCCCAATATGTAGTAATCATAGTTTACAGGTGTAAGTACTAGTACGTCATACATTTATATTTATTCACGTTGAGATTCATATCATTTTGTGAACCCCATTCACTAAATCTGTCTGTGATACTAAGCAATCATCTGGTGTTTGAATTGTCTTAAACATTTTTAAATCATCTGCAAAAAGTAAGATGTCAGTATATTTTAAGTTAACTCTGATATCATTAATAAAAAAATGTTGAAAAGAAACGGCCCTAGATGGCTTCCTTGTGGTACACCTGATAAAACATTAATTTCGTGAGATATGTATTCCTTGACTTTTACATATTGGGATCTGTTACTAATATAGCTTATCAGCCGTTCCAATAGCTTTCCACAAAATCCAATTGCTTTCAATTTCTCACATAAAATTGAATGGTTCACTGTGTTAAATGCTTTGGAAAAGTCAGTATAAATGACATCTACTTGATGTTTCTCTTCCAAAGCATTCAACACATACTGTGAAAATAACAGTAGGTTGGAAGTTGTTGATCTGCCCTCTGGTAAAGCCATGTTGTTCATCTATAAGAACTTGATTAACTGAATCTTTGATTTCGTCACATACTGTGGACTCAAGCACTTTGGGTATAGCACTGATAATACTTATTTGGTAATAATTCTGTATATTAGCTTTATCACCAGATTTATGAATAGGTGTTATGAAGCTTGATTTCCAGTATAGAGAAAATATACCTAATTTCAGAGAAGAAGAGAAAAGCGCTAATAATGGTTTTGCAAGTGTAAATCGGCAGTTTCTCAATAAAATATTTAGTATTCCATCCGGACCAGGACCTTTATTAATGTCTAATTCCCCTAGCTTGGGAATCGTTCCCAGACTAATAGTGCAGTTACTTATAAAATTGTGCATACCATAAAACAGCACCTTGTAAAAATTATCGACTACCTTATCTATGTCAGTTATATTACCCCATAGTTCGTTCCAGTTTATTCCGGCCAAGTAATAATTTAGACCTATATAATCGCCATTTTCAAAAGTGTATCTAAAACTATTAAAAGTTAATTCTGCATGGACATTTTCAAAATTGACAACTATATTTAGAGCTGGGTGGTATGCATCACAACGTAATAGTACATCATTTGATAATTCCACGGTGACACTTTCATTTACATTTGAAAAAATCAAATCCAAAATACCGCCATAGCAGTTTTTAATTGTGTTTGTTCATTTGAGAGAAATTATAAAAAGCAAAATTATCTGCTATGGTTTGTGCCATATTACTTATAGTTATATTTGTGGAATTGATACACACCCCCAACTCATCATTATACCAATCCACGTTCGGCAAATTGTAGTCACCTGTTAGAATTATTTTATGATCTGGAAAACGATTTCTAATGTCATCAATAGCTAAGAAATGATCTTCATAAGCTCTCCAATCAGCTCCAGGTGGAAAGTAGACACCACCAATTATTAATTTATCTTCATCATAACAAATTTTCACAAAAACGTGTTCGATATTATTCTGTGTGACTAAAATAGGCTTACAAGAAAATAGCTTTTTGATACCAATCAACACTCCTCCGCCTCTAGACTTACTACTGGTTATATGTGATTTGTCCTTCCTGAATATATTAAAATTTGACAAACCAAGCTCAATTATTAATGAGCTTGGTAATTATTGTAATGAAGCAGTTTCGAAGTCAGAATATATACATATTGGAAAAAATAAATAATAATACAGATATTGGGGTCTCCCTGAATACTCTTTCAATATGAAGTAGATCCAAAGAATATATTACCTTCTGCACACCAGGAGAACTGGCTGCACTGTCAACTTCTGCTGTGGAAATTTCTGTTACGCTTCCTCGTGCTCCGTTCTCAATCCAACTGTTCCGTTGAGGACCCCCGAAAAGACCAGGACCTCCAGCACCATAAGGCGAAGTTTGTTGGAGTCTCGACGGATCTATACCTCCTGATTTAACGTAGTCACATACTGCCATCTGAAAGATGAGTCCATAGAATAAGAAAATCCCGATAATCAAAGTACGCTTAGATGAATTCTTAAAACTGCACTGTATTATAAACAAAAACCAGTTTGAGTTTCAGGTGGAAGAAGATACAAAGGATGCTATCTTCTCTTTTTTATATGGAATTTACTCTGAATTGAATGCTGGTGAAGTAGCCGCCGCAATTTTATGCGATATTTCAAAGGCGTTTGATTGCGTCAATCATAAAATTTTATTAAAAAAACTTCATAAATATGGTTCGAATCGTACCTTTCAAGTCGGAGTCGAATGGTGAGGACAACGGAACTCTCGGAGAACAGGGCCATTGAATCTGGCGTACCACAGGGTTCTGTGTTAGGCCCTATTCTATTTATGCTATATATGAATGACATATCTGGTAGCTTCACTATATTTTCGGATGATACTACAATATTGTGGAATGAAAGAAACACGGTGGAGCTAAATAAAATAATATCATCCGACTTGAAGAAGGTGAAGAGTTGGTGCGATGCAAATTTACTCTCTCTCAATGCATCCAAAACAATATAATATCATTCAAATGATGAAATAATACATTCAACATTTAAAGGGATTCGTTTCTATTTCAACATTTGGCAACATCGGTTATAGCTAATAAAGGACAATGAATCTGTTACCTGTATGAGACAAACAAAGATGACATATTTCAGAGGCGTGCTGTTCTGTTTANAATATAAAGAATTATGTTTACAAGGAATTCAAAACACCATAGTTATAATACGAGACAACATGATCTTTTTTTTTATCTTGAATCTACAAGCTCTGTAGTGGCAATAAAAATTACTTCTCTTCCTCTACTTTCGAACAATTATCATATTGCAATTCATTATACAATTTTTCAATTTAAAATCTTGAATTACAATCAGTGGTGCTTCCTCTATATATTCAGATTTAAAGAACATATAAAAGATTTCAGTTTCCCTAAAAAACAATTAGTTCCATATCAATCCTAGCTGAATGTTTGAAAGTAATGACATAACACATTTATTTTAGGACATGTATCTTTCATAATATAGATACATTATTATCATTATTGTTCGAAGTTCATTGCTACTAGCCTGTAACTGAATTTGATTTTTTGCTCATTTAGGAAATAAAAGTTCTAACTTTAGATTCCACTGATTTGGTCAAAATTATTAACTAGAGAGAAATTTCATGTTGAATAAGAAACTTTTTAAATGTATGAATAAATTTCAGATTCTAATGAATAATATAGGTGACTTTTTAAATAGTACTTTATATATCAAAGTGGCTATTTAGAATTGAAGAAAGCAATACCGAAATTTTAAAGCTTTGGTAATGAGAGCTTTATTATTTTTTCTGGCTTACTCGAAATCATTAATCCCTAAAAATCATATATCGGATTGAAAACAAATTCCTCCAAAGAAATTATGATGAAAATCATAACGAGTTTTTCTCTCATAAAAAATAACATAAATGTTGTTAATTTTAAATGAAAATAATCTAGGGAATCGATAAATTAACTGAGTGTTTTTAGATAAATTATTTTTGACTCCCACACAATCAAAATGTATACTTACTATCAATCCTCTTATTTCAAGAAAATTCCAAAACCATCTCATTCACAAAGAAATTTTCAAAAATATTCTACAAGCATAGAAGATTCACTAGTCTGAATACGACAAAACTAATTTTACAGCATTTTATTTTGTAAAGAGCATGCTTGACAGTCGATCTGCTAGGCTAAAAAAATAAATATTATGAATAGGTCTTTAAAACTTCTCAAAATTCACAGCCGAATAGAAAATATGGAAAAAAAAAATGGTATTCTGCCCTGAAACTGAGATATATGCATTGATTTGCAAAACTTGTACNCCATCTTCAGCCTAAATTAAATTTGATATCTTCTTTTCTAATTTGTTTCATTTGTATTAATTATTAATGTTGTAAATTTTTTCAAAAATATTCAACATTCTTTGAATTTGTGGACCTAATACTCAAAGTTAGGAATTATTTATTTACTTATTGAATGTTATTATATAAGTATATGTTGCAACAACTTATTTGCAGGGGTGTGATTATCCATAACAGGAAATGAAATTTTCTCATGATTGACATCATTATTTCAATTTTTGGATATTTTATAAGTGCTACTCAATATTGCCCCTCTTCAAACTAACTTGCCTTATTTCTTATTATTTGAATTCTACTGTTATTGCTTGTTTTATATCATATACTATATGATCTAATTGAGAACCAATAAATACTTCACTATTCAACTTTATATGATAAATTGACAATCATAATACTTACGTATTATGACTGTTAGTTTATACTTACGTAGGTTTCGACAACTTTTCCAAATTATTATGCCTGTCAATGAGAGTATGCAAGATCTTCTGTACCAGCAACCTCATGTCTGGATCAGGAGCCAAAGACATCCTTAAGAGGGGTTCGAGGAACGAAACAGGGAAAGTTGTATTCAAATGGATTGTTTGGTATTTTGTTCCAACCTAAAAATGATATATTCAACAGTTTCATATTAAACATATCGAATGCAAAAAAAAATTCATAGTTATTTTTGAAATACAAGTTTTGGAGAAAAAATTTACATAAACTCACATATATACCTTCAATAAACTCTTCAACAAAATACTCTGCAACAAATTATCTGCAGGGGTGTGATTATCCACAAGAGGAAACGGAATTTTACTCATGATGAACATCATTATTTCAATTTTCTGGTAGTCTGGTAAATGATTCGCAAACTCTCCTAAAGCGTTAATGAGCGCTTCTTGATACTGTTTCTCTTCTAACTGACTTGCTTCATTTCTTACAGAATCTCTCAGGTGACTTAGAAGAGAGTTGATTATTTCGAGAACAGAAGGACCTATAATAGGAAAAAAAGAAGATAATCGAGATTTAGTTTATCATTATACTTTTAGAATATTTTTGTAAACAAAAATTATCACAATAATCATTATCATAGCTCTTCATTAGGAATAATCAGTAATGAACTATATGCACAAGACTATTTGAATAACATTAACAGAACTATTTCAATTTGGAAAACCATTTTGTTTAAGGTACTCTATATGGTTCCAATTCAGTTAGAATGTTTTGACCTTAGAAATTTCTGATATTGATGACTTATTTATTTTGTGGAAATTCATCTTCAAT